AAGTTGATTAACTTTCATCTCTGAGATGCAAGTTTGTTCTTCTGGAGTTCAAGGTTGGGTATTTATTGGGGCACCTACGTGGCTCAGTCAGTTAAGCGTCTGCCTTTGGCTCAGGTCATGATCCCAAGGTCCTGTATTTGAGCCCCGCCTCAGGATCCCTGCTCAGCAGGAAGCCTGCTTCTCCCTCTGCCACTCCCCCTGCTTGTGTTCCTTCCCTTGCTGTCTTTCTCTCTGTCAAATAAATAAATAAAAATAAAAATAAAAAAAGATTGGGCATTTATCTTTGAATCCTGTCCAGGTTTAGGTGTAAAATATAAAATTGTTAAGGTCCAGTCCTTAAAATTTTTTCTTTGAATATAGACTCCATGGCCAATGTCTGGCTCAAACTCATGACCCTGAGATCAAGAATTGTATGCTGTACCAACTGAGCCAGCCAGGTGCTCCCCAATTTTTTTTTAATATAGGTTTGTTTTGTTTTGTTTTTCTTTTTGTATGTAAGCTTGGGATTCACAGAATCATTCTGTTCCTTTATCCTCTCTCACACGGTCTACTCCAGATGGTTAATATTGGTTTGTACATAATTAGAATGATATTTAAAGCAAAAAGATTTTCCCCTCAATTTGATGGAAATATTGGGCTTGATGTTCCATTATAAGAAATTCATTTTTTGACTTTGGGTAAGTCAGGAATTCTCTCTGGACTATTTCCTCATCTGTGACATGAGAAGTTGGACCACTGTGTCTCTACGGCCCTCTTAGCATTAGTATTTTATGAAGCTATGACAATTCAAAGTCATAAAATCATCAGAAAGCTTTATGTAGGTATGTAGAAAAACTAAAGAAGACCCTAAATTTGGAGGAAATTCTGTATTGCTTAGAGTATATAAAGTGCTTCTAAAATCTGTTGCTGATTCTGGAAACTTTTTCATAAGAAACAGAGAGTTATTGCAGAAAGAAATGCAATTTTCTTCATTTAAGAATTCCCAACTTTGGGGCATCTGGGTGGCTCAGAGGTTAAGCCTCTGCCTTCAGCTCAGGTCATTGTCCCAGGGTCCTGGGATCGACCCCCAAGTCGGGCTCTCTGCTCAGCAGGGAGCCAGCTTCCCCCCTCTGTCTCTCTGCTTGCCTCTCCACCTACTTGTGATCTCTCTCTCTCTGTCAAATAAATAAATAAAATAAAATAAAAAAGAATTCCCAACTTTAAGGAAGAGGAATTATTTAAGTATTACAGATTTTTAAATTATATCTATAGCTCCTGAAGGAAAAACTAAGTTCCCGAGTTGTTCCTTCTGTAGTCCATTCCAGTATTACACATCAAAATTCATCATGAATTTGTAGCCAAAATATTTCCAATGTTTAAGCAATCTTTGATATCCTTCAACTTAAGGCTTGGCAGAAATACTCAACAAGTATATACAAGGAATACTCAACAAAGAATGGATGAAATATAGTAAGAAAAATTGTTTATTCTTCTATCTTCTTTCTCTCACATGAGTTTTGTTTCATTGAGTTAGTTTTCTGTCTTTAGTGGGTCAAAATGCAGTTTGGAGGTCAAACCTTTGGTCCCAAAGCTTCTGAAATACCCTATTGACAGTACAGAGTTGTAACAACTAGGTTTAATGTCCAAGAATCATCAAAACACCTGCCTATTTTAAGAGAGAAGTTTTTAGTAAATTACCAAATACCGACTAAACATTCCAATAAAAAACTATTAACTAAAAAGGGAGCTTAATATAAATAAGTTATCTAATTCTTAGGAGGCAGTGGTTCTTCATCCTCACTGCCCATCAGAGTCATTCTAAGGATCTTTAGGAACATCCGCTGCCCAGGTTGCACCTTGGACCACTGAGAACAGTTGCCTAGGCTGGGGCTCAGGCATCAGAAATGTTGAAAGATGCCCTGGGGATTCCTGTACACAGTTAAGATTAGAGCCTCTCCTCTAGAGCTCTTCGCTTGTTTCAAATATCACAATAACTTGGTTATTAGAGGACTACTCACTAATGTCTGAACACGCTGGGCTTTTGGATAGTCAAGTATGGTGGAGATGGCCTTGTAAGTCAGGATCTAGTTGAAAGCCTGCCTCTCACTTGATAGAACGAGCACTGGGTATTATATGCAACTGATGAATCACTAAATTCTACCTCTGAAACCAATAATATACTTTATGTTAATTAAGTTGAATTTAAATTAAAAAAAGAAAAAGAAAAAAAAGAAAACCTGCTTCTGTTGATACCATTATGTTACCTTAGATGTTTTACTCTGCAATTTCATTCCACCTTTAGCATTAATCTTTAACACTTAATAACATTATAGCAATTTTCTAGTATTTTCTAAATCACATCCAGAAGTCAATAGATTCAAAATTTCAATCTAGGTGTTTTGATTCAAGTGGCCATGTAATGGAAAGACCTTTAGTTTGATAGTTAGCTAATGACTCACCATTGAGAAGCTTTAGATTTTTTGAATTTGAAATTCTATGGGTTGATGTCGATGTTTGCAATTATCTAAGAAGTAAGAGCTTTCTAAGCAAATCAGCAGCAAAAGCCTTGTTAATGCATCTTGAGTAATGTTAAGCCTACTTAAGAAAATAAACTGTTTTGAGAATCTTGTTACATATGTGGGGATCCTCATTACAAATGAATCCTACACATTCATGAAAGCAGACTCGGAAACTGAGAGGCAGCTCTGGAGAGAGCCTGAGACCAGTGCTCGTAGATCCGCACACCCTTCTGGATTTTGCCATTTATTAGGAGTTTAATTATGGGCAAATTGTTCAATCTCTGAGTCTTAATATCTTCATCTATGCAATGGGAATAATATCTACCTTAATTATTTCACAGAGTCCTTACAAGGCTTAGATTAAATCATTCATTTATTCAACAAATATGTGATTTATTGAGTGCCTTTTACTTGCTAGGCAGCGCTCTAGATGTGAAGGATATAAAGAAGGAAAATATGTCCTTGGAAAGAGAAAATATATTGGTCACTTCTCACATTATTAAAAAAATTCATGTTGTAAGCCCTTTGAAGAGAGCTACTCTTTTATCTCTTGTGTTTGCATGTCTTGATACCTGGCACATAACAGAGAAGGGGCTAAAATATTGATTATATAAGTGAATGAATCACATAATTCATTTCCTTGAAAACATTTTGTTCTCTGGACTGGGTCTTCCTTGAACAAGTTGAAATGAGTAACATGTGGGGGTAGTTTCAAATTCTTGCTGGTTTAAAGTTCCACTTAAACTGGAACGTGGTAGTCTAACCTGAGATCCTTTCAAACCACAGCGATGGTTAATCTTTTAGTTGGAGTTTAATTCAATTGAGATTAGTATTCCCTTTATTCCAGTTACCATTTCAACAGCATCAGCCTATTTTTGGCTAATGTCCTTTTCATGTTTGGTATTAATCTGAACTCTAATATTTCTTTTGGAAAGAAAGATAAATTCTTTTCTTGACATCCCTTTTTTCCATTAAGTTAAAAAAAAAGTCACTTCATAAATGTGATTTCAAACAGCTGGATTTTAATATTTCTACCTTATGGGAAGAGCATTTGGCATTAGCAGTGTTCCCACCACATGGCCTGGACTGCATTTAGCACACAAATTTCTTAACCTGGACGCTCTGGCCAGTGATGAACTTGTAGACGTGCAGTTGGGCTGTGTTCACATGCTATTCTAAACTAGGTCAGGGGGTGGGCTGGTATCTTCTATACTCTTTTAGGAATATGGGAACACATGCAGAACTGTAATATCCCTTTCATACTGGGTCACAGAAATACTTTAAGGATTTAAGTTCCCTGTCTCTTTGCAACAGGTAAAAAGTTTATTCTCTTTGCAGCCCTGTTTGTTGTTAGGATAGCTGGAGGAGGCCTTGGTGTGCTGATGCCCAATCTTTTATTTGAATAATGGAAGTTTGGAGTTGAAAGGACCTTGGGTTTGATCCAGGCCTGCCACCCATATTCTAGACAGACAAAATAGAGGAGAAATGAAGAGGCTGTGATAGGCAGCACCAGCAGGGGTCTGCGATGCTTTTCCTGAGGTTTTGTTTCCTACCCACGGATTTGTATATACTATGTGAGTTTCGCCAGCTTTTGTGGGTGCTCCTAGGAGAAAGCTCACAGAATGCAAGGTGATATGCCATGTAAGATAGACATAGATGTTTATGGGCCCACATGTATATAATTGTGTAATTTCCATTATCCTTTAATGCTTACATTGATAGTAATATGTTAAGTTTGCAAATTTATTTCAAAGTCTTACAAAAGTAAATTCCATTTTCTTTTACTGGTTTGTAGAGATTTCAGGGATTTCGTATTCAGCATGGCCAACAGAGATTTGAGCTGGGCTTCATCGTGTTCTTTTAAGTTACTCACATGGTCCCTGGCATGTGTGCTTCTCAGGTAGCAGAGAGCACCCATTATTTTCCTATGTTTTGCATTATAAAGTCAGTGCTACCCCTGCCTGCTATTAAAATTGGTTTTTCTTAGGCATGAGATGAATGAATGCCAGAGAGGTTAAATATTTTGTTCAGAGCTTCACAACATCCAGTGACAAGTTGGAAATAAAATATACGAGCCTCCTTTTGTTAAGCTTGAGCTCTCAAGTTCTGCTGGACCCCCAGCTGCTGCTTCCAAAGCTCCCCACATTTTTGGAGGCTTGGGAAACTGCCACAGATGCATTCACGCAAAATAAGAACCTTATATCTATGACTTTTGCAGGGCAGGTCATGGAAAGAAAGCACCTGTGTTATTCATTTTCGGATTAGAGACATGGAGTGAGTAATATACTGCAGGCCCCAGAGTTCCCCTGGTTGGGACACCGTCTTGTGTGTTTCATAGGATGAAAGTCCTTACCAAGAGAGCCCTCTCTGAGTTCAGTTTTTTAGTATCTACACATAGACTGATTTCCCAAATTACCATGGCACACAAATAGGGAGGGGGGAAAAATTCAAGAGCATCAAGCTCGCATTGACTACTTTATGCTCTATATTGTATTTTTTCAGAGTGCAAATTCACCTGCACCAGCGGTAAATGCTTGTATCTTGGTTCACTGGTCTGTAACCAACAGAACGACTGTGGGGACAACAGTGATGAAGAAAATTGTCTCCTGGTGACCGAGCACCCACCTCCTGGCATCTTCAACTGTAAGTCCCTCCTACTTACCTTGGTATCGTTAAGTCGGATTCTGTTTTTTGAAATGGTTAGGAGGTGGGGTCATAGGGAAAGGGAAAGGATGTTGATTTTTGGTTAAGAAAAGAGAGTTTCACAAAGGGAATTTTTTTTTTCTTTCAGTATAGAAAGATGGTGTGTCTAAAAGTGGAAAATTAATTCTACTTTCAGAGATGGCCAGTGGTGCTGTGTTTTGGAATAGGCTTTGACTACTTAGAAACACTAACTGGATAACAAACTGAGGGTTTGGAGGGGAAGGGGGTAGGGGTTGGGTGAGCCTGGGGGTGGGTATTAAGGAGGGCACATATTGCATGGAGCACTGGGTGTGGTGCATAAACAATGAATTTTGGAACACACACACAAAAATTAAATAAAGTAAAAAAAAAAAGAAAAAAAATAATATTTTGGGTTAGTATTCATGTCAGTTTTGTAGAAAGTTTTTAGAGTAATTTAAGATAATGATTTTAAAATTTTAAATAAGCAAAGAAAGATATTTGGAGAGTTCATAATTTATCATGTAATTAAAATAAGAAAATAGAAAAATTTATATGGGACTTGAAAAAGGTTCTGATTTTGTGTTTTTCTGTTTGGCACTAGATGGAAAACAAGTTAAGTAAAGTGTTTACATGTGAGAATCCCAAGGCCGAGGCTTTGAGCATTTCTTGAACTTGAAAAGGTGAAATCAGAGTTTGAAGTTCATCGATGTTTTGATCTCATGGTTTTTATGAAGAGAAAGGAGTAAGAAGTCAGCTTTGAAACACTGCTGAACTTCTCTTAGGAAGTGGCTTAATGATGAGTTAAGTGAAGTGGCTTAATGATGAGAATGTCTTTGAAATAACAGGTCCAAAAGGGATGTTTTCTTCTCTTCATGGGGTCCTACTAAAATCATTTGTTGAAATTTGCTTCTTTCCCAAGTTTTACTGCCATTATTTTGAAAAGTTATATTTGTTTTTTTATTTACAGATTTAAAATTTTTGTTATGGCTGTCAGACTGCATAAATACTAATACTGTAATGTGAAATGAGAGGAGATTTTTTTAAAAAGAAATGGTTTTCTCTATTCTTGCTTTATTTTAGTATTGAAAGCAAACTCAAAGTGACCGTACCTAGTGAGATTTAAGCCTTTTATTTATGCTTGCTAAATTCTGGAGTGTAATAGTGCACTAATTCTCATCAAGTTTTTCTGTTGTCAGTTTGTTTTTTCTTATATTGACTGTCCTTAGAGTCCCATCTCTATACTTTGAGAAGACAATTTAAGGTTAAGAGTATACTTTCTTGGTGTTTGGTCCTTGTGTTTCTTGTGGTGATATTTTCAAAGCCCTTGTGCCACATCTTGGTTGTGGAGAGCAGAGTTTCTTTGACTTTCTAGAAACAATAACTGAGTAACTTTACGGTCATCAGTACTGTAATTTGCATAATGCTGTTTGCCTGGACACAGGGTAAGGATCTCCACAGTGAATTGTCCTGCCTACTGCAAGTCTGCCTGTTGGGTTGGGATCCAGGCCACAGCACTCACCTAATAATGGGGCAGCTCTGTGACCTTATCTGAAAGATGGAGCATGAAAATGAGCATTCTAAGGATTAAGTGGGATGGTCATAAAGCACATAGAATCTTGCTGGTACTAAGCACTTGATGTAGGTCAATTAGACTCAAGTCAGTGGGTCATAGAAGAAAAGAACAATGTAAAGGCAATTTTTTGTTTCTCTGGACTTGAGTAATAGCAAACACATTACATGATAAACTGTGGAGAGAGTTTTAAAATCATATGCTACTTTCACTGGATTGGAGAGTTCTGTGTGAAAAGCAGGCAGACCAAACCTTTGGCCCTCTAACCTGGGGCACTTTGGAGACTGTTTCTGTGTATCTTGAAGGTGCTTCCCCTTCACTTCAGGGTAGTTCAGCTGCAGTCCTCTTACTATATGGAACCCTCCCTTCCTTTCCCTTTCCTTCCCTTCCCTTCTTCCCACCTCTCCCTTTTTCAAGAGTAGTACTTTCTGGTTTTTAAAGCCTATTTCCAGGTATCTTTTTCATTCATTTTTAATGATCTGAATGCTTTAATTTTGCTTAAAGCTAGGTGAAGGAGTTACATCTATAAATGTCTCCACGTTGTCCAGGCAGCCACAGAAGTTTATCCTACTAGGAACCTTAAGATCCTGTTGACAAACTGTTAGTCCCTGCTGTTCAGATATAACTAAAACTTGTTGTGTCCTTTTAGCTAAAATGGGAGATTAAGACAAAAACCGGGAGACATAAGAACAAAGTTTAAGACCATGGCTGTGGCTTCAAGTAGACTTGGGTTCAAGTTCCAGCTTAAGGAAGTGACTAAACCCCTTTAAGACTTAGTTTTCTTTTTTGTGTAAGGGGAATAGTTCTCTGCCATATAAGGTTGCTGTGAGAATTTAAGTGAAATGATATACATGAAAAGCATAGTCTATATAATCGCATCATTACTCTTATCATCCTTACTCATTGTGTGGCCATTTCTTGGGGAGGTGGACCACCATGGCTTGTGTCCTCTGTCTCTAATGCCAGAGTCAGTCTTCATATGTAACAGGACTTTGCAGGTATCCAAAGGTGAGTTCATCTTTACAGATTCTAGATGCTTCCTACCGACTTCTCCCTGCTCAGCTGAGGGCAGCTTGCTCTGATCTGGCCAGCATCCCCCTCTGCACTCTTTTCCCCCAGTTCTTCACAGGCACCAGAGGGAAGCTGGGTTCCCTTGTCATATGGGACACCTGCTCTGAGTTTATTGTCACCGGTGTGTTCTTTGTTGTCAGGAGTCTTTGGGAAGAGTTGTAGACTCCTTGCTCTTTGTTGATGCCAGAAGATGATCTAATATTGAGAGAATATATTTTCTTCCCCATACCCTACTGGGCAAGAATGTAGAATTAACAAAGGATATGTTATTTCCTATTAATAGCTGCATAACAAGGGTTAGAGGCTCTCTATTTGAAAGTGGGTTTTAATGGATCTACCAACACATTTCCTCCAGTAGATGGACAGTATGCCCTTCACAGAGTACTAACTCTGATGATGAGGCTCTCCATCCTCTCTGCCTCGAGAACTTCAAGTTCTACAGGAATTCTTACCTATAAAATGTCACATTCCAGAAAAATACATAGCGCTTCCTCCTTGTTCCTATTTAAGAACAAGATTCATTTACTTGACCTGCTTTGTTCCCACCTGTAGGGAACATTCAGTGTTCTGCTATTTGATTGTGCTTACGATAAAGCAAACTGGAATCTTCTGGATTTCCAGAAGAGCTAGACTCCGTTTTTTGCCTGTGTTATTGGCTGTGAGCATGCACCATGGCTAGGATGTTTGGGTCATCTCTGTCTCATTTGATATTTACTAAAATTTACCCTAGATTAAAGTTAGAAAGAAAAAGTTACTGTCATTTGTGAGGTCATGAATGCTAATAATAACGGAGGCAATTACAGTAGCTCTAACTAGCTTTTCCCTTGAAAAAATGTTTTTGCAACCTAAACTGGGTGGGTTTTTTGTTTATCTGTTTCAATTTTAATGAAGAGTCTATTTTATTTGACAGAGAGAGTACACAAGTAGGTAGAGCACCAGGGAGAGGGAGAAGGAGGCTCTCAGATGAGCAGGGAGCCTGATGTGGGGCTCAATCCCAGGATCCTGGGATCATGACCTGAGCCAAAGTCAGATGCTTAACTGACTGAGCCATGCAGGAGCCCCTAAACTGAGTGTTTTTGCCTGCTTTATCTGCTTCACTAACTATGGTTAGGTCATCCATTGACTGAGGTTGGTTTATTTTTCCGTGAGCCTCAAAGGGTTTACATAGATGTGGAGGACTAGGCTGGTGTTGGTTGTCTCACAAGGAAAGAATTTTCCTGGATGCACTTTTTTTAATAGAAGAGGAAAAATGTTGTCAGCCTAAATTGCCAGTTTTTTCTCATGTCTTTTCTCTTGGCTGCTCCATCAAAATATTGTACTCCTGAGCACTAAAGATACAAATTATACAAATAAAATGATTTATTGTATAGAAAAATAAAATTATTTTTATACAAATTATTATATTTACAAAAAAATTATTCTGTGCCTTCTTTGATCATTGTACCAGGAATTGTGTGGGATGAAGAAAAAAATAGATCCTGTGACCGCAGTGTTGATGGTCAAGTTGGGGAACTGGAAGATAAATACAAGCATAGGGTAGTGAGAGCTAAGCAGTTCTAGTATTTTGTGGTTCAGTAGGTTAGAGAGAATTATTTTGGTTGGACGAGTAGTCATGGTGACTTTCTGGAGGAGGTGTGCAGGGAGGCATGGAGAGGGACAGAGTGTCAGGGCCAAGGATAGCACGATTGTGGGAAGAAGGATGGGGTAGCAGGTCGCCTGAGATAGGGTGGGAAAGGTGGGTTGGGCCCATAGAGAAAAGCCAATAAGTCATGCTACACTTTCTGTCCATCTCTGAAAAGCATTGAGCTGCCTGTGGGTCTGCTGTGCGTGTGTGGGGGAGAGCTGCACAGCTCACCTGTCGCCCTGGGTTTTGCTTGCATTGCTGCTCCCAGACTTTCAGTGAACCCTGCCTCACCATTCCTACCAGGCTGAGTGTTTCCTGTTACATGACATTTTCAAAGCCCCTGTGCCACATCTTTGTCAGGGAAAGCGCAGAGTTCCTTTGACTTCCCAGAAGCAATCATTGAGTAGCCTTGAGAAGAGCCATGTCCTTTGGGAAGGTTGGCAAGAACAACCCTTCCTTAAGCAATCACAGCTAAAGAATTCATGCCGCTAGACCTTAAGAGTAAGCCCAAAGTTGAAACGAAGCCAGCAGTTAATCAGAACAACTTTCACTTTCAGCATCAGTGGAATTTCCAATTAACTGAGGGGATCTGATTCAGGGAAATCGGGGAGTGGAGGAGCTCCCATCTCAACGGGAGGGAGAAGTTGCTTCTTTCTCCATAGGTGGTCCCATAAAACTCAATCTCAAAATCCAATGAACTAAAGCTAATAAAGT